AGACATTCTTCTAACAGCTTTACATACATTGATTCCTCACACAGCCCTAAGACATAGGTGAGAGGTACATACTGTTATTAGCCCCATTCTACGGAGAAACAATTTGAGGCCCAGAGAAACTCAGTAACTTGCCCAGGGTCACAAGCGCAGTAGGCGGAGGGCCCGGGATTCAAAGTCAGGCCCGTCAAGCTCCAGAGCCGGTGCTCTCGCACTGCATTTCAGCTTCATACCTGCAAGAAGCAGCGACATGTAGGGGAGGGGTGCTGAGCGCGCTGCTGGGCCGGCGTGGGGCGGGATGATAAAACTGAAGTAGCAACAGGGTGTGCGCGGGGTGCGTGTGTGCAGCGGCGGCAGGTTTCTGGGGGGACACTGAACAGGTCTCCGCGGCCGAGCAGAGCGCGCAATGCCAGTGGGGGCCGCGCAGGCTGGGGCGTGGGCCCAGCGCTGCGAGACGAGACGCAGGACAGGGACCGAGTGGGGACTGGGCTCGCGGAGGGAGGGACCCTGTTGAGGGGGAATACGGGGTCACAGGTGGATGTGAGGAGCGCGTCGATGTGGGACCTTAAAGGGGAAGGGGCAAGGGGCGCTCAGGTGATTCTGGGGTGACATCGAGACAGGCACTGGGCTGGAAGAGCCCCGAGGGGAGGAGGGAGCCCCGTGCTCAGGGGACGAACTGAGGGGAACGAGGCGGCTAGGAGGGAGGCTAGTGGAAGGGACACAGGGCGGGGGGCGCGCTGGGCCGCACTGACGCACCGCCCGGGACGACCCTGGGGGTGGTTCTGGTGGCAACACTCAAGGGAAGTCAGTGAGGGGAGGACTGAGGACGGCCGTGGGTGAGAGCCACACTACGCGCGGGGGAGGGGTTCTTCTCAAGGGCGGCTCACCCGGCGGACTGGGCGGCGTCCCCGCTGTCCCCGGGCTCCGCCGCGTCCCGGGGCTGCCCGGCTTCCCAGCTCTCGGGGCCTCGGGCCGCGTCGCGGCTGCTCCGCCATCTCCGAGCGAACGCTCTGCCGCAGCTGGGCCCAACCACCGCTCCCACCGGGGGGAGGCGGCGCGCTGCCGCTCGTGGCACCCGCTTGGGTCCCCACCGGCTCCAGGTCTGGCAGCCGCGCGACCGAGATGCGGGCACACCAGATGGTCCCCCTCAGCGCTAAGCCGAGCCGCGACCTCCGAGGCGGCGGGCTCCGCGCCCCGCCTGCAAAAGCGCACCCCCGCTCCCCGCCCGGTGGCACAGTCCGGCGAGCGTCGGGCGCCGCGGCTCCGGGGCAGGGGTGGGCCCGAGGCGCGGACTCGTCCACTCAGCCCGCGGAGGGGGAGCCGGGCCGGCCCACCCGGGGAGGGGGTGGGGCGGGCCCGAGGGCGGGGCGACACCTCAGCCTGTCACTCGAGGGCCCGCATCCTCCCGCACGCCCCAGACCCGCCTCGCCGGCAGGGGGACTGCTTGGAGGCTGATGAGTTCATGGGGAAGTTTTACTCTAAAAAGGGCCCAAAGGGAGTAGGAGAAGGTACCTCTCTCCACCTGAAGACTCGCAACCCAGGCCGCTGAAATCTAAGCCGCTGGCCATAAACCTCCAACAGCAGTTAACACAATGGACTGTTTAAAGGTTATTTTATTAAATATCTTCAGTTCAAGGTTTCATTGTAACAAAGCTATGAAGGGTCTACCAACATTCAGAACAAACACTAACTATTTTTAAATTATTTCTATGTCATCATGCAAAAATTCTGCATCAAATGCCTTCCATTTCCTGTTTAAAAGGTGGTTTTTTTTTTAATAGTCTATTGTCTATAGATGCTGACATTAGCCCCAGAAGAGAAGTAAGAATGCTAAGAAGTGGGGCTGGAGCAGCCATATGAAGCTATGGGTCTCAGTGAACTCTAAGACCATTTGTCTTCAAGCCAGCAAAACCAAACCCGGTGGTGAAGGGATCTGCGTGCTGGCACTGCGGGCTGCAGGGCAGGACAGGGCTAGGGCCCAGGGGCTGGGACATGCATGAGGTGCTCGGAGGAGCCTGGCTAAATCCAAGCACCAGCACCTATGAGTCTGCTCCCTTCTCAGCTGGCTCCAAAGTAAACCTGTAGCTTTGCCTCTTCTCCCAGCTCTTGTGCCTCCTGAAGGTAGTCCAGGGAGCTGGAGTCTACCAACCTTTCCCCCAAAAGTGCAGATAAATCTGCAGAGTTGTTATGGGAGAAACCAAAGCCATGACCAATTGCTCCTCCATTATCTTCTCTGCTATCTGCTTAGGGTATAGATCTTTCCCTCCTGGAATGGAACTCCTTGAGCATAGAGAGGGACAATGAATGTAGAAGCCTTGGCTCTGGACACCTCTTTTGGGTACATGCAGGTGTGTGTGTGGGGTGATGCCCATGCAGATTGTCCAGCAGTAAGTCTA